TCTGCATGATGCTGCTTGTAATATTAGTCACAGGAGTATATCCGAGAATAAGGTTAGAAAGGCTAGACTTGTCCATGGGGTTAAGTTCTATATCAGATACTTCTTCATATTTCTTATTTGGATGCATCATGCTAATTAATATTAGCCAGAATAAAAAAAATAGAGGAAAAAGAATTTCCTACAATAAAAGAAACAAAATTATTACAAAGTATAAGGATGGTAGCAAAATCAAGATTTCAATGCAAATAACATAGGTACTATTAAAGGAAATATTGTCCTCTCATATACAGAGAAATTAAAAGCAATCCTGCTTTGGGATGTTCTGTATGGCAAATGTGTAATGCCATACAGAACAACCCACAGCGCAATCCTATCCTAAAAGTATTGCTATGTTGAACATCCCACCAAACCCCAAAACATAGTTGATCATTTTCAATATGCATTCAGTTTTAATGAAATGTTTTAATATTCAAATTATATAATAAAGTGACATAATGTTCAAATGTCTTACGAGTACTGATTTAACACTCACTTTATATTTACTCATAAAATTCCAAAGTAACTTGTGAACAAATCCTTACAAAGATTTTCATTAAACTGAAATGAACTTTTAGAAAAAGAAAAATAAGTAAATAAGTAAATGAAAAACTCACTGGTTTGGAATTAAAAATAGTACCTTATTAACAATACCTAAAATACTACTAAAATTACACTTAATTAGTTTATGGCCTGCTTTACTAGACATGAACTATTATTTTATCTTGTTCCTTATTTTGCTAGTTTCAGAAGATAGCCCATACCTGAAATTACTGCCAACTAATTAGCTAGACTTCATTTTACCAAAAGCACACCATGCTAGGGTACAACTCCTGTGACATAGTTATAGTATTCTTTGGTAAGTTAATTCATAAACCATAAATTGGGAAGATGTGGGGTATAAAATTGTGTAATATTATTTCAAAAAATTATCTGTGGAATATTACTTCATCAATGGGGAGAAAATGCATACCTAAAATTCAAAAGACACATGATGATGTCAGAAGTTAACTGAACTGAGTAATCACTGATACATTTAGGAGCATTAGTTCATTCCTTTTTTTTTTCCTTGCTATCATAAACAATACAATATGCTTTTATTTTATAAGCAAACTGAAGGAAATAAAATTATAATAAAAATGTATTCCAAAAAATTCTCCTAAAATGGAACACATCAAAGCAAAACAAACCATAAGAAGACAAAATAATGAGTATTTTTAACTTACCTGAACACTACTTTTTTTAGTCCTGCATTTAATTAGGTAATTTTTCAGTAGAAGTGTTCTAGTCTGTCTCCAAACTCCCACATCCCTGATTGCAGTGGCCATGTTCTCTGGGTCAGCTTATTAAAAGGAAAAACAAACAAAGCTTGAACTACACAGTAAAGCATATGTGATTTTTCTTTCATTCATTAAAAGGAAGTTAAGCATACTGCAAGCTATCTCTCCAACATGCACAGAATGCATGAAAGAACAATCTGACAGCTCTACAAAGTATATGGCAAGATATTGAAAGACCCCCAGGGGAGATCTTCCTTCAGGAGAGACCCCAAACCCAAGGAACACACCGAAACCACAGATCAGATGCAAACAGCAAGAGGGTTTATTCAGATACACAGGTACCTGGGGCGAAGCCTCTCGGAGGACTTGTGCGCCTTCCTAGGGCAAGGGGGACTTTTTATAGGATCCCAGGGCAGAGGCGCGGTTACAGAAGCGAGAAGCATAGTTACAGGGTTCTTATTGGTTGTTTCAAAGAAGGTCAGGGTGAACTTGGGGACGTATTTTTTTAATTCTTAGAAATTTGATGTGTGTGGCTGACTTGGCCTTGCCCAGGGTACAGTGGGCGTTTTTCCAGCCCAGCTGCTTATTCCTCAAGGCCAGGGGGCCAACCATAAATATCCTGATTTGATTCAACGGTTTTTCTCCTAGGGCCGGTGGTCGACCACAGTTATCTCTCTCTCAAGGCTGGGTGGCCGGCCATAGTTATCTCTCTCAAGGCCGGATGGCCAGCCACAGTTATCTCTCTCTCAAGGCTGGGTGGCCGGCCATAGTTATCTCTCTCAAGGCCG